TTTGTATTGTATAATTTTTCATTTGTATTATATAATTTTTATTTGTATTCTATAATTTTCTATTTGTATTGTATAATTTTCATTTGTATTGTATAATTTTTATTTGTATTGTATAATTTTCCATTTGCATTGTATAATTTCTTATTTGTATTGTAAAATTTCTTATTTGTATGCGATAATTTTTCATTTGTATTGTATCCGCGGACTGTTTATTTGTTTCGTTACGAAGGATTTCATTGGTCAAGTTTCAGCCTGTATCGGGTTGAAGATGTTCCGGATGCTCAAAGCAAACTGGGCTCATATGTATTTGCTTGCTTGCTTGCTTGATTATTGTTTAACGCCGAGTCGGCAATATTTCAGCCATATTTCGGCGGCATATGTATTTGCGTGCATGTTAGACGGTTATTGGATTCTTAAAAGGGAGCGCTGGTAGATGGCAAATAAATAATCTGTCCTTAGGAATGCTGATTGAGAAAATAAATAAATTGACCTTGAGTGGTGGTAACTACCCCCACCCCCAAAAAACTGAGTTTTCGGGTTTGGGCGGATTTTCTTCTTTTTGTTTTTCTCCTTGTCTCTGGTCATATTGGAAATAAATATTCTCTCCTGCGAGAGAATGAAAATAAATAATCGGATTCGACACCCCCCGAGAATCAAATGGTCGTCCCTTAGCATGCACCGAAAAATAGAGGAGCCGAGTTTGTGTTTGTAGAGAGTGCGCGATCGGAATTGTGGGAAGGGTACCAGACTAAGTTTGTGATGGGCACCTTTATACAGACTAAATTTTATGACCAATGACATCCTTCGTAACGAAATAAATAAACAATCCTCGGATACAATACAAATGAAAAATTATCGCATACAAATAAGAAATTATACAATACAAATAAGAAATTATACAATGCAAATGGAAAATATAGAATACAAATGAAAAATTATACAATACAAATGATTTTTTTTACAACACAAATGGAAAATATAGAATACAAATAAACATTATACAATCCAAATGGAAAATTATAAAATCCAAATGGAAAATTATAGAATACAAATAAAAATTATACAATACAAATTGAAAATTACAATACAAATGAAAAATTATACAATACAAATGAAAAATTATACAATACAAATAAAACTTATACAATACAAATGGAAAGTTATACAATACAAATGGAAAAGATCGAATATTGCAACGTTTGACATGCCATAGTTTTCTAATATGAATTTAATAGGTATGATACTAAATATTATTTTCATATACACCTCATATTTTTAATTTTATGTTGTATGTTGTGATATTAAATCATTACTCTTTCTTCATATCAAGATCCGACATAAAAATCATTTCTGAAAAAATAAGCAGCGCTTCAAACATCATACTGTTTTCCATTTGAAGCTGATGCTATAGTTCTTGATGAAAATCAATGTTGGAAGTTTAAAAAAAAAGTGTGAAATTTAGAGCAGAGGGTCATTAGTCCTTAAAGAAAAATCTCTTAAATCATTTAAAAGTTCATAAACCCTCACTCATATAAAATTTATGATTTTCCGAAAGAAATGTATTTTATAAGTAAAATACAAACAATAATAGCATAGATGGCGGGGCAAAAATGGACAAAAAGACATTTCAACTTTACAAATTTATAAAGGAATAATAACGATATATTAAAAAGCTCATTATTTACCTATTAGCATGTTTATCAAAAAACAAATCCAAAACTTAGACATAACGAATGACAGAATGAAGGAATAATGGAATGTGAGAATGATGGATAGAAAGATGTAAGATTGGATGAATACTATTATTCATGAATACTATTATGTCAGGCCATTTCATGGCCAGGACATATAAAGATATGCATAGTCACATATGTGCATTTACAAACTGACAATTAACTAAAGCCTCCTATTTCCAAGTAAGTCTTGAGGCCTTCTTGGGTTTCATTAAAAATCATGAGACGAGATTCATTACCACTTGAGGAAAATTGGGTTCCTACAATGCATTCAGTAAGAGTCTTTTTGAAAACTTCAACCTAGTTCACTTAAAAAAGATGAGGATTATCTTTGGTAGAAATTTTGAAAATTACTCAAGAAGTACTGTAATCAAAAATAATTCTGAATTTCTGATCCCACAAAAAGATTTTTTTATGATATTAGGAATTCGAATTATACATACAAAAATGTTTTTCTGATGTAAAATAGAATATTTGCTATCACAAATCCCTCTTTCTGATAAAAAAAAATAAATCTTGTTATTTCTGAAAAGGATTCTTTAATATTAGGCAATCGAATATTTGAAAGCAGACATCAGAAAATAGCTTGAAAATACTAAAATGCTTCATGGTAAACGCCCACTAATCATTCCAATTTTAGCGTGTCAGTTTTTGGTCAAGCGTCGGTGAAGTTTATTACTGATTGGATGTACGGTTTCAATAATATGCAATATGTTACACAGAACCAACAATACCACTGATTTATATACAGTAATAGTGACCAACCGCATTGGATGATTGTTTACGAACTTGGTCAGTCAAAGTCCATTTTACTTCCTATAATCATGTGATATTTACAAAAATATGGTTCATTGAAAAATTCATTAAAACTTTGATGATATCCTTATGGAATAGTTTGCATGATTATGATGAGAACTCAACCTTTTACCAAAATTGTTAAATTCATATGCCCTGCGTCGATCTTCAGACCCTAGACAGGCCAGTAGCAACCGTTTTAAAAGTTAGGGGGAGGGGGGGGGGACCCGCAAAAATCCGTAAACTGCCTAAACTCGAAAATACTATTAAAATTTCGGGAGTTGGGAAGATGGTTGGACATTTCTCTAACTTTTTGGTACATTTTTCCCCCAAATGGTGGAAAAACTGGGGGTGGAGTGGGGACAGCATCTTTATAAAAAATTACACATTAAAACTACAGCAAAAGACGATACACAGAAAAAAGGGGGTGCACCCCTTGCGTTTTACGGGTCTGCTAGGGAGGAGGTTAGTTTGTCATATTTTGAAAATACATTACATCTTTGAAAATGTTTTTCTCAACTCTTGAACATTTAGCAGACAAACTGTTTATAGAAATATGATTACAATGAACACAACTATAAAATTCATGTCCCACCATCCATTTTTCAGATCCCAAAGTGAGGCTACGTTGTTCATATATAGAACATATACATTACAACTTTGAAAATCCTCCTTATACTCACTGACATACAGCATATAAATAAAACTGTATGCAAGTATAACAAGGGGTATATACTGAACTCCATCAGTGAATTACTCATGTATACAATTAATGCCCAAGGATCCAGCTTTTAGACTCCAGAGTGGAGCTATAATATGCAACTTGGTCACCTTTGAAGTTCTTCTTATCTACGCATGGGCATATAACAGATAAGATGTTTGCGTTATTATTATGAGCTGCTTTCCCTCTATATAAAATTGTAGAATCCATGGCCCATAGTTCAGGTCCAAGGGTGGGGCTTAGAAAATAATTAATGTCTTTGAAAATCTTCTTCATCAATTATGGACATTTAGCAGGCAAACTGCAAGATTATAATGAACAACTAGTCCTCTAAATTTTACTTCTGAACTTCATGGAGACAAGCTGATGAATGTGAATTATGATAATAGAGTCCCCACGAAACTTTCAATTTATGTCACATACGAGTCTAGATTAGTTCCCTTTGGGCCTAAAGTGGGCATAACCTAATGACTGATGATACCGAGGTGACCGTTAAGGCCCACGGACTTCTTGTAGCATATACAGTAGTAATTATCATCTCTCTGAAGAAGTCATGGGCCTTCTTTAAGAGATATTTGAACCTTAACCCATATAGGTTTTGTGCCAAGTTTGGTTAAGAAATGTATAGATTCTGTAATTTGTTTTGGTGACATGGAAACATCAGTCCATTAATTTCTACATCCATCACTTTCAATTTATTCGATGAAATCTCTCTTTTACAGTGTTGTTAGATAATATATCAAGTAAAAAAAAAAAAACACATACACACACAAACAAATTAATTCAATATTTTATATTAAAAAAATAGACAGCTAAAAATAATTGCATATAAAAATTTCAAAGTCAAATATCAATATTTACATTCAATGTATTTTTCTTTATGAAATCTATTGGAAATCTACAACATTCATATCCCATTAACATACACGAAACCTTATCACGGCGTGTTAGATTACACAATAGATACTACATGTACATACATTTGCAATACACTAGGAACACCAAAATGTAAATTGTTTTGGCTCAATTTCACTAAAAACAATTACCCTTTATAATTTTGTAAAAATATATATATAACATAATTGTACAGTTAAAATTGATTTCTTCCCCTCACAATATTCATTTCCTCTATCTGATTTTCCGCGTCAAAAAAAGCTCATGATTACGTCTATTAACCACATATAATACAGGGCTGATTTGAACGTGTTAAAAATCTTAATTTATTTGTCTTAAATTTGAAAAAAGGAAAACTTTAACGTTAAAACATAAAAAAAGATCATATAAATTAAAAACAATACAAACACATTTAATTATGAATACCTCAAAACTACTCTGTAAATTTCAAAAATCAAACAAAAACAAAGTTAATGACAGAGGTCATGAAGTTCATGAAAGCGAAGAAAACACGATATTTATTATCGCAAAATTTTAACAGCAAAACTGAAAGTTTTACAAATCATTTTGCCATTATATTTCTCATAAGACTAGATATTATTTGTATCAACTTGTCCACTGCTCCTCCCAATGTAAAGTACATCACAGTACACGATTCTTGGAAGGTTTCTTTTCTTGCTCTATTGTACAACATAACCCATGATTTATTTTTTCAGTGACAGAAAAGGTTGCAAAATCTGAATCACCTGAGCTTCAAACAAGACAGTTTGCCTTATTCGTCGTGGAGTAGGTTCCATAGCTATAATTGTTGAATCTCGTTCTGGGAAGTTTCGATGACGGATTTCTCCACGCAGTTGAAATAAAAATTCCTGTGGCTGAATCAGTGCATGAATACCTTTTTTGTGAACCATTTTATCCAACTAAATCAACTGAATTTTTACAGGAGACGTAAGTTTGAGTCGTGTGCTTTTAATAAAAGCTTCTAACAATTGAACTCAATAATACGACTGGTGAGTATATTTACATGTACATGTCAACAAGGGTGATGTCACCCTGATTAATCGTCATTTAGCACGTGACTACGATGTCTTACACGTTAACGAAACACTGGTTTTTCTCTATATTAGAGAGAGAGAGAGTATGTTGGCACGTTCAATGAAATATCTCGACTAGATATTTGTTGTTTAATTAGCATCAGAAACAAAAGAATCACAAGTTAATTTCTGTCCACTATCTACCATTGCCATCAGCAATTTTCTGAAGGTACAAAGCGATCTGGTGTCTTTTTTTTCACCATTTCACCATTGTGTCTGTAGTAATTATCAGAAGTCCCTTTAAAAAAAATTAATTCCTACCATAAATCTAGTCTTAGTGGGTGAAATTGATCGAAACGATATAAATGAAATGTGATTAAAGAATATGTACATGTTAGTGTTGGAAATAAAGATATTTTCAGGTCGGTTAGATGGATAGCCTAGTCTTTATATTTTACAAAACGAGAGAGAGAGAGAGAGAGAGAGAGAGAGAGAGAGAGAGTTAAGTTTTAATTCAATTGCTGTAGTTAGATAATGCTTTATTGCTATGCTATCATTATGATAATCACTCCATTTTATTTTAGAGTATTTTAGTTTGGGTGTTTGAAAGAAAAAATAGATTATTTTGCCTGGTAATAGCTTCCGAGCATTTTTTTGTCCTTAAAAATATATACTAATTTGGTTTATTAGCAAAATTGCGCTAAAAAAATACAAATGATTTCCTAAGGTTATATTTCAACGAAAAATAACAGGCCCAAGGGCCTTAACAGTCACCTGAGTATAATACAACATTGTTAAGGATCTACAGAAGTATAAAATAAAACAAAAATAAACTGATAGATGATCGAAGCTATATTACCAAAAAGGAAGAGAAATCAGATGATCAGGTATCAACAAAATAATTCGTCTATTACTCAGTAGCACATGTTAAAACGGATCTATTTTACTTTATTTACCCCCCCCCCCCCATTTATCACTATCACCATCCTGACTTAAATTAACAAAAATGCTTCAACACTGTTAGAATACCAATTGCATTCCCTCTCAAATTGATCTCTCAATTTTTGAAGAGGCACATTTAGTTTGATTGTTTGCCTAATACCCAGGAACAGAAGATTTTCAAAGAATTTATACAGTTTCACTATATGATCATTACGCCAGAGCCTGGGGCCACAGATTTCACAATTTTGGAAGAGGCATTCTTGCTCATCATAACAAGGCACCTAGTTTATCTTCTAAATAAGAATATTGCTAAAGAATTTATGCATTTTCACTATATAATCATTAGAGCCCGCCCTTACGACCCTGTGGTCACAGATTTCACAATTTTGGAAGAGGCATCCTTGCTCATCATAACAAGGCACCTAGTTTATCTTCTAAATATACAGGGGGAGAGAAGAAGATCTTTTTAAAAAAATTTGAATTTTCACAATATGATCATAAGAACCTCACCCTAACTCCAGAACTCCTGACTCTGGGGCCACAAATTTCACAAGTTTGGAAGAGGTACCCTTGCTTATCATAACCATGCACACACATGTAATATATCTGCCAAATATTCAGGGGGAGAGGAGATTTTTAAAGAATTTATGCACTTTCGCTATACGATCAATAGAGCCCCGCTCTAATTTCAGAACCCCTGACCCTGGGGCCATGAATTCAACATTTTGGTAAAGGCTTATTGCTAATTACATCATACTAACATTCTTATTTCTTGATGTCCGGGACTAAACAAGAAGATTTTTAAAGATGACACTAATTTTGATGGTTTTATCCACCCTCCCGTCAGGTCCTAGGGGGCAGTGACCATGAAACTCACAATTTCTGTACCCCTTCACCAACTGATGCTATATGCCAAAATTGGTTGAAATTGGTTCAGCAGTTCAAGAGAAGAAGCTGAAAATGTTCAAAAGTTTACGACGGATGACGACGGAGAAAATCAGATAGCAATATAGGTCACCTGAGTGACTCAGGTGACGTAAAAACTAGTTCTACATTGACAACACCATTACTCTGAATGGGAAGTCTGTAGAAAAATTGTAGCCTAAAGCAACCCAATAAATCTACAAGTTATTAAAACGACTACGACTAATATAATTTAATAATTTAAATCGTCTCTAGTTACATTGATTTTGCAGGTTTTGATGTATTTGGTTCAGTTTTTTTTAAACAAAATATTTTTTTTAACTGATCAACTGCTAATAATTACTTTATATTCTGTTTTATGCAATTATTCCTCGAATTTTTAAGTTGACCAAATAAGAGCATTTATACAGATTTGCCATAAATAATAGGAAATTTTCAATTTGAGTCACTTGCGTTGTTTAAATTTTTTAAATATTTCTAACTAATATTCTTTTTTTCTATCAACTGATGAAGAATGGCAAAATAAGGTAATTTTATATTTTGTGACATCAACGTTACAATATAGATAGCATATTTTTATTTTTCTTGAAAACTATCATGCAATCTTGCTTCCATACCTTAATAATCTGGATCTGGCTCCGGCGATTCAGAGGAAGGAATTCTGGTCTAATGTGAAAAAAACAAAATGCATATAAAGGATGAAATCACATTATTTTTCATAATGTCAATATTGATTATGGGAAAAGTTTGTCATGCTCTGTTTGCAAATGTTTATCTGCAAACTCCATTTAAAGAATATAAATACCAAAAAAGTCAAATCGATATAAACTTACAAAGTTTTTATTTCTTCCGATGGCCCTTGATTTTTCACGTAATTGATCTTTTTTATAAAATTCCTACAACGAATTTTAAAAGTTGAATGAAATATTTTTATAGTCAAGAATGTTAATTAATAAATACAATAAATGTATTAGCTGAGAAATTTGAATTCTGATTTTTCTTTTTGCAGAATACAGTAATCTGCGCATGTCAGCATACTAATTATAAGACGTTTGTTATATGAATTCCAATCTTTAATTTTATGTTAAATAAGAAGAATGATTAATTTTACTCACTCTAGCTCCAGGATAATCCGGATCTGGAACGTAAGGCTCGTAACTGATCTAAAATAATAAAATACTCTTTTTTAGATACACTTGTATATCTTTAATACTTTGATTTATCTTTGTAATTCATTATACAACTTGCTTTAAAAAATCTGTGAATAGTCAGGAAAGTTTGAGATGCATACGAAGAGCTCTAAGGACTAATCTATCAAACTACTCTTTTTGACATCTAATCCTAAGGCATTCAATTTAATTAACTGATCGAACATTAGGACATATTTTAAGTATTATATGAAATTAAGGTCAAATCACATGGTATTTTAGGACTATCTTATAATAAATTTTGGGTGTTAGTTGCCTTCGCCTACTAAAAGGAACAATGGAATGCCAAATGAGAGTGTACCTGCACATCCAGAATCCTCTAGATAATCTAAACAAATTCCATTTAAATATCCAAGCAAGTAGCGACTTCCAAGAAATTTTATGGTTTTGACAGACCTGTACGTATAGATTCAATGGAGGAGATTTAGCCTAAAGTTAGGACGGGCAGTAGACTTAGAGATAAGTCCTTGACGCCATTTTTATTTGCCCAAATAAATACATCACATTAGATTTACATGCCTTGAATCTTTTGGATGAGAATCTACGATAAGTGCAAGGAGTCTGCACCAAAGTATAGGTGCTGGCACAATAAACAACACTCCTTCCAAGAATGTTCAAAAAATAATTCACTGATAGTGTCATGATTTGTATGAACACATTTTGCTGGGATGTATTAAATTTCGAACACTGAGTATCGATGTATAATATATCACTACTTACATTAGTTGCTTTAAAATTTGGATTTGCTGACACTGTTGGCTAAAAATAAAATTCCAGTTCCATATTAGAAATTTCTTACCAAAGATACATGTAGCTCACGAGATCTTATGCCTGATGTCTAAATTCTTTTAATGCTCCAAAAAGTATATATATATATATATATATATATATATATATATATATACTAACTTTTTGACCGTCCGTTTTATGTGTTGATTCATGAGAGGCATCAGAGGCACTGATGGCATCTTTTTTCTGTAAAGACTATTTGGATAATAGAATCACTTTCTCAATTTCTTGAAATAACCGAGAAATGTATTATTCAAGGTGTGTTGAAACGAACTCAGAATGTCAAAGAAAGAAAGAAAAACAGCAAATTTCTTTTGAGTTTTTAAAGGCACCAAAGGATCAACACTGTGTAATATTAGATGTATTTTTTTTATTAAAATAAAAAAAAAAACTCATTTAATAGCAACAACACGCATATCTGATATGAAAAAAAATCTTTCTACTTTGTAAGAAATGTATTTTAATCAATGGTTATTGACTGAATACATAAGTAAATACAATTATAAAATATAACCTTATTAAACATAAAATTATATACATACGCCTTCGTCCAGGTTGATTCTACCTTTCACAACTTTTTTCAGTTCAGGCAAAAAAGCATAGGTCTTCTAGAATGAATATAATTTCGTAGATATCTACGAATCAAAAGTTCATATCATTTCGTTAAAAATCAATCTGCTTCATGTCTAGCATTTTGTTGAGGTAAAATACTTATTGTAAATATAAGTAAAAAAAAAATTTAAGTAAAAAATTAAATTTTTGATATTTTGTCGTGCAAATTATTGACTGAATAAATTGAGAATTTAATAATTCCATACATGTAGAAACAGTATCTTTGAAATTTTTATCTCAGACCACGACAAAATGGTTCCAATAACGACACATGTTTTCAATCATTTTACCAAAATAAAATAAAAATTATCATTTAACTTTGTTTCTTTTTACAGCTATTTATATACAGAAGATTTGTCTTTTTTTTTCAAATGCCCAAAAGCATAATGAACAATTAAATAAATAATGTTTATTTGAAGGCAAATTTCAATTTTATATTCTAAAGATGTTAGAGTCATTGAAAAAATGCCTCGATGACAAGGTATGAGAGTACTTTTTTTGGTTGCTATGTTTTATTGTCAAAAAAGCTTTTGATTGTCAAAGTATTCTTACGCTCATAGTTGAAGAAACATTGACTGAATTACTCAGCCTTGAAGACAACCTGTAATATAGAGTTTTTAAATCATTAGGGAAAAAGTACACATATCAATGGGTAGGAAATTCTTGAATGTTATTTTTCAAAATTAAAAAAAAAAAAAAATGAAAATTATATGTACTTCTTTCTATAGATCAAGGAGTTTTTAAGGTGCGTCTTCTAACAAGGTTCCGATTCTGGCGTCTTTCTCCAAGAAGGATCTTTTGCTGAATTCGGTTTCCTCCTATTTGTAATAATACATCATTCATTAATTGGAAGTTTGAAACACCAGACAGACAATGAAAATTCTACCAAAAACCAGTATTCGATCAGGGTTAGACTGTGAGACAAGGCGGAATAAAACAAAACAGTCTGGAACTGCTTGTTTCATAACCATATCATAAATACAAGGAATTTAAGGATTTTAATTAAGAAGGGATCTATAAGCTTTTAAGGCTATATTAAATATATCATCCATGTTTTTCTTACATTGTATTCTGATTTGCATTGTGTTTGAAGCACAATATCAGAAGAACTATTATATTTTATCGGACTACCATGGTTTCAAAATCGACAAAATAAAAAATTCAGTTGAATTCTGGAGGAACCCAGATTTATTTTTTTAAACATTTAACAAAATATAAACATAAAAATTCTTTGAAAATGTTAATGAAAAGGAAACAGTGTGTATACAGCATTTTTCTACAAATGTAACGCCTTTGAATTAATTTTAATACAAAAGCAAAATTCTAGTTAAGTCAATCAACATTTAAATCTTTCACAGCTTCCTTCGTGAAAAAAAAACTGCAAATAGGGATTTTTTCGCCCCTGTCTCATTTTCGTCTCTTTTGCTCTACTTGTCTCGAAATGTCGACTGATATTTTTCATATACATGTCAATTGCTTGGTGATGATGTTCAAACTAAATTGCCTACAGCTTTTTCCGATTGCCCGATCATGCTAAGGGGCCACACGGCGGGTATAACCGGACGACAAGGGAAGCTCACTCCTCTATGACACCTGACCCAACCTCTTGTGCCAGTTGTTGGCTCTGCTAAAAACTTGTATTGTTTAAAGGACTCTTGAGACTCTTCCATGGCACCTGACCGCACCTCTGTTTTCAGAGACCCGTGTTGGTTCTACTCACAATTTGTATTGTTTAAATGGACTTTTAAGCTTGATCACTGTTCGTTACCTTAACATTTCGTTCCGTTGCCGTGTACATACTTGTGAAAGACAACATGGTGTATTGATGCATCTTAAATCGGGGGTTGCTGTGGAAAATTGCAACGTCCGATAAAAATCATACTAGTATGTTCTTATTAACACTACATACATTTCTTACACCGTGTGACTACAAAGATTTGCACATTTTTTTTTTTAAATATCCTTACATGTAGCTGGTGGTTTGGACTTGCAAGCAAACAAAGGTGTCCTTGTGTGGAAACATAGCTTAAACATCTATTATAGTGAAACCCCTTCGGGTGGAATAAAATGACACCTAAATTATATTCTCTATATATCTCTATTACCTACTTTTTGACTCTTCCTCTTCCTCGTTGACAACATTTTAAATGAAATTTGAGATATTTTACCTGTATAACAGGCAAGTACGTATTTGATATTAAATGGAGTGGTGTTTTTTATATGTCAGGTATTCAATTGTTGTTGATATAATCAAGGTCTATATTTTGGTTCTTTGAGTTGAGACTACGCCTCGCTGCACTTGAAGAAAATTCCGATTACGTAATGGGATTTTTAAAGTGCTGCGGAAGATATTCATTGACTTTAAACTTTACTTTGGTCGATTGATTCGCAATACAAAAGCCGTCAAAATTTGAAAACACATTACAGGAGTATCTGGAAAAAAAAATAGTGCAATAGATCCAGAGTATATTTGTTTTTTAACATCGAGATTATTTGTACATAGCTGTATGTTTGCATTCCTTATTTAAAAAATGCACGCAAAGAGAAAACGGAGCAGAAAAATTTTGCAGACATCTGACCGACTTTCTCTCTCTGATTGATTTTATTTATTATTAGACTCTATCGATCCAAACAGCAATTGCTATTATGATCTGTTGAATAACACATTGTAATACTTTTACTGCTAATGGTAGAAAAAAATATAGGGAGAGAGGAATACCTGAATACATGTCCTTCGTATGAACATGTATAAACACGTAAGTTGCAATTTTGTAATTTGTTTCTTGCTCTATGCTGTTAAACAATTTTGCAGAATAAGTTCATTTTATGCTCAAACTATCCAAATAGGTCCCAGAAGATTTTTTTTTCATTTTCTTCGAATTTCTTGCAAAACGAAAATATCAAAAGAATATTTCCCTCTTAAGTTCTCTATGTACATCTAATTATATGATGAAGAAAGAAATATTAAATTAATAAGTCTCGATCGTAATTTTTTCTCTTTTTGATTACTTCATACGATATTAAATATAAAGAAATTTTCACTTACTTCCTTTATAAGAACATACTCCAATAAGCACACTGTGTCTCTTAGGGAAAGAGGAATACCTGAATGCATGTCATTCTTAATGTTTAAATAGACCTGCACTTGTGCATGTCTTTGAATGGAATGCGAAAGTGTAGGGTTACCCGTGTATCGTTATTATCCCTCATTTTCATACCAAACATAATGAATAATTGCATATTATAGCCTGCTTGATATGTATCAAGACTGTTATATTTCAGTTGAATTAATAACGCTGAAATCAATAAATGCCTTCTACCATGTAGTATTCATACAAATCATGATACAATGAAAAAATTAAAATAATGTCATTGTGAGACGAAATATCAAAGTAAATAATCAAGCAATTTTCTTAATGAATGTGATATATTCATCATTTTTATTTCAACCTATCTAATAATTAACTAGTATTTTGGTAACCCTTGTAATTTAAAATTATGTCAGTATGCTCAGTATTTGGATGAATGGACACAGTAATTTTCTCAAACACTTGGGTATATTTCGCTATGAAAAGGTTATATTTTTTATGATATCAGTTATTGCGGCCACTGGTATACATTAAGTTATGAATCTTTCATCTTACATTCATGTACGATGTGTGATCAAAAAGTTCGCGAACTAATTGAATTATTTCCATAAAAGAAATAAAATTAGGTTTAAGTGTTCATTACTTTTTAAAATAGTCCTCTCCGATTTTAATGCACTTCTGCCACCGTTCTGCCCATGCGCGAATCACGTGATCCAGACAGTTACGTGACATGCTCCGTAGCGTTTTTTAAATGTGGATAAAATATGGCCCCCTTCTTTTTATCATATTTGATATGTTTAAACTATCAATAAACGTTATTTATAACAAACATTATTTTTAACCATCTCCCTTCCTTCACTAAAACAATCAATCCAAATAATGATTGAACTTCTGGCAAGTCTTTTGACTTCATAAACCTTGTACAGATTATTATATGCTACTGCAAAGGGATTTCCAAGATATACGTTAAACTTTACAGACCTTCGTTGCTTGAGTACGACTGAGTCAACCATTTTTTTCGTGAACAAGTCACCTACATATTGACGTCATTTTCACATTTTGACGTCACAAACATGGAGCAAAACATTACATATCACGTGCTATTTATAGAACGTGTGTATGACTATATGTGTGCCAAATTTCATTTTGATCTGAATTGTGGTTTTGTAAATATAGAGATAGTTCGCGAACTTTTTGATCACCCCTCGTAACTGATAAAGGGCTAATCAATGTAATAACGACAATAACTGTCTCTCTTTCTTCTACTCATGCAGCTTCTAATCATTGATTCTCCGAAGCAGAGTAAAAGTCAAATTTTACCTCTTCCTCTTTCATAGTTGAGAAAAGTTGTGCCAAACCCCCCCCCCCCCCAAAAAAAAAAAAAAAAAACAATTGCATACAAATATTAACGAACCTGACGTCTGTTAGTCCAAGAAAGCCTTGTGTAATCTTTTCTTACCATTGCCTAACTGTTCCAGAAAAGTCGAAAAAAAAATAGATAAAAGTAAACTAGATGCTGTCATAAGACAGTAATACCAGCACTAAAGTATGATTTATTTAGGGGCAGGTCTGCCCTAAAGGACTTCTAGACCAAAATTCATGTAAAAATCGGTGTTTTAATGGAACAAATGCTATTTTAGCCAAGGTTTATTTTAAAGTTGCAGATAATAAATTTTAAATTTACTTTATAAATTTTAGGTTCAAAATGCAATCTGATTTAATCAGATCTTTGTTACGCTCCGAAATTCTGATAGTTGCTGTACAAAGACTATCAGAATTTCGGAGCGTAACAAAGATCTGATTTTAATCAGATTGGTTCGAAATGCAAATTTGGAAAGTGTTGATATATATTACGGTAGAAAATAACTAATGAATATTGATTTTTACATGTGACCTTTTCCGGAAAATTGTTCTCCCCCAAAGGTCATTTTTTTTTAAATTTCTCAATACATCATTTAACAGGAGAAATTTTCGATGGCATACTTTCAGTCTCAGGAAAACGTTTAAAACCGGTTGTCGAAAATAACATGTGGTCGAAGTATACAAGTATACATTAGAAACATACGGTAAATAAAATTTGAAAACGGCAACTTAAAAATAACAGGTCAGTGGGTCTACTAAAGTACATGTGACTGCCAGATAGAGGGGCTGTATTCATGCAGTACATATCTGGCTCCCTGAAACACTTCAATGCTTTCTAGGCTCAGCACCTACCGTTGGAACGCCTCGTAAAACAAGAAGATTTCCTCGATAGCTTTGGCGATTTCAACATTCGTTCGGGTAGCAATGACGTAATTTATCCGGGTCTCAATTTTGTAGCCTGTGGAATTCTTTCACTTGTTTTCTGGTAGATATATCTCATAAAAAGTTAAATCTGTGTACGAGGTAACCCGATCATCCTCCACTCCTCTAGTGTTATTGAGGATGATAGAGTATAGGTCTGTAGAATAGCTCTGTTACCTATGTAAATAGTGTTAAAGCATTATTTATTATCATATATTAAAACAGTATTTCAATTCACAGAGACGTAAGCATACTTGTAGTCATGGACATCGGTCTTACAATAAATCTATTATAGTCGATGTCTCATTTGATTCACTACTACTTTATGTAAATAAACAGTTAGATCTTCATCACATTCGCACCAAACTTTACTCTATCCCTTTGAAACTTTTAAATAGTGTATTTGAAAAAGTCAAGGAAAGTCCATATTTGTATTCTTCGACACCAGAATACAGGCTCGGATCTGTGATTATGGATTTTGCAAATCATAGGCTATTTAAACTGCCATGTTTTGCGAAAGAAAATACTGCTAAAACAACCCGTTTTTTCCTTAAACTTCAATATGCCAACAATGGAAGTGACGCGGTAAATAAAAGTAATGTTCTTAATCACAAAAGGGTCCAGTCTAAATCACAAAAAGGCCCAGTCTTGTATTCCACCATATTTCAAGTTGAAGTCAACACCTTGTATTTCTTACAAATATACATCGACTATTGAAAACTCTACTAAGAAAACTCTATAAGGCCTAGATATCGAACATCTTAATCATAATCCTCCAACGTGTTCATGCTCTTCTTCACCCTACAACTATAGTCCTGCTGGACACATCATTACTGGTGACGTACATATAGTAAAAATGAGGAACTTAAATCACTTATTTTAAAAGGGCCAAAATTTAGGGAACCCCGATTTTTCAACTGGTGTCATAATTTCGTAAATGTTATAAATCATGTGGAAGATTACACCAGGCCATGAGCCAAACATGAAAAAGAAGACATTGGCACTTTGTCAGAATGGATTAAATGTATCAGACGGATGTTAAAATCTCGCACTAAGCGATTGAATGGAAATATGAGAACCATCTATCCTTCTGTTAAGTGAAAAAAGAATTACATAGATAACACGATCAGTTTTACGTGTCCCAGTTGACAAAGCAGGTAACAACATTGTCTTTGTTTGTAACTGCTTTGTAACTGTTTATAATGAAATATGAAGATAACGAACAGTATTCAATCTCAAAAGTCCAAAACGATACAAATTTGGAGCAGAGCAAACACGGACCTCAAAATTTAGAGGTGGGATCAGGTGCCATGGAGGAGTGAGCATCTCCTGCCGACCGGTCACACCCGCCGTGTGCTCCTTGTCATGATCTGGAAACAAAAAGCGGAAAAAAACCGTAGACAGTTCAGTGTATAAATAATGGCCTAAAAGTCAGTATGAAAAACGTCAGTCAGCATTTGACTCAATGACAGGTTGTACTGTATTTGCTTACAAGGTCATTGTATCGGCCGAAAAACTTGCTAAAAGATGATTTCAGACGAGTCTGTTGAAATTCTTATTTCGTCAACTTGTTTGCCAATAGCTTGCCTCGTTTTAAAAATTGTTCATACGTAGAGCATGCTCTTGCGTATCGAGTCAACTGAGAGATATAAACCCCATATGCAGGTGAAATGGGTATATTGCTACATAAGTAAGGGAAGTTGACGATTGAAAAGTTGAAGTCATCACGTTTATCATAAAGCTTAGTTGTTAGGTTACCATTAACGTCCTTTTCTAGTAAAATTTCTAAATATGAAACAAATGTGTCGGAATCTGTAGTATCTTTTATTTCAAGCTCACTGGGATATATCGAGTCGACATATGAATGAAAGTAACTATTGTTAATTGATAATACGTCGTCGATATATCGAAATGTCGAGTTGAAGGCCACAGCAAGTGTTTTCTTCTTCTGATGTAGAAGTTTTTGAATAAATTCTGCTTCATATGAATGCAAAAATAGGTCTGCTAATAAGGGGGCGCAATTGGTACCCATGGAAATTCCAACAGATTGTTGGAAGACCTGATCTCCAAAAACTACATAGATATTGTCAATCAGAAACTCAAGCATCTGTTTAATATCAACTTCAGAATACCTGTGTGTACAATCAGAGTGCTTTTTAACAAAGTAATTTTGTAAATGACCAATGGTAAGGTAAGTATATTTACGAGTTCCATTTTTATTGAAAAAGCAGCTGTCTATGATGTCAAAAAGCCTTGACTTCAAATTATCGTGAGGAATGGTTGTATAAAGCGTTGAAAAGTCGTACGTTTTGATGCTATTGATTTTAGTAAAAAATTTTGATTTCAAATTTTCCAAAAGTTCTTTGGAGTTTTTAAGTATCCACATCTGATTTACACCACTTCTCGAATATACTGTTGAACAGTACTCTTGAAGTTTATCCTTCATTACAGTAAATATTTTAGTGAGGAGTAAAGAAAGAGGCTTGGTAGAACATTTACTGGAACCCGCTATGTATATTTGTTTGTAAGGATTTTTATGAAGTTTAGGAATCCAGTAAAGGTATGGTACAATGTAATTCAAATTCATTTTGATTGTTGGGGATATTAAAATTATCTAACACGGACATATGATTTTGAAAAATTTCCTCCTTAGGAAGGGAAGTATGGGTGTAAGTTGGATTTCTACCCGTAGAATTAAATCCCAATTCCTCTAAAATACAATTCAAATAATGAGCCTTACAAACAAAGACTATGTTGTTATCAGCTAAGGCTCATTATTTTCAGGAGGTTGGATCCTGTTATCAAAAGTATTGAGAATTTTTTATCAAGTATATTTTTAGAATCTACCCACATCTAGCTTAACAAAAAAATCAAAACAAAAAATGGGGGTCAATGCACTTCTTTTGGCGTTATGGAGCATTTAATATGATCTTTTTGCACTGTAATTACGTCTAACATATAATTAAAATCAATTTTTCAAGTTTTTTCTCTAATATTTTCTATCCAAATAAATTGTAGGAACAAAAACATTCTTTATTCATCTTGATCAATTCAATCATTTGTCCTTTCTGCACTCAAAAAATGCCATTTTTCTGGCATTGAAAATTTAACAAGCAATAAAATCAATTGAAAGTAATAATGACATTTTTCTGAATTTAAGTAGAATGGTTAAAATTATCTTATATATTCAGAAAAGAAAATTAGAATAACACTAAAATAGTGTTAATTTTAAACTTAAAGTCATATATGGCGTATTTTTGATAAGTTCAGGTAACCAAAATTAAAAAGATCTTTCTATTTGTTTTATTACTTTATATAAAGATAGGACTTTCCTGTAAATTACACAATTTAAATCAATCGCGTTTCAAAGATATCAAAAATTTAAAACAATACCGATTTATTTACCGACTCCACATTTAAATAACAGACAAATTTAAAGTCAATTTAACTATAGAAACGTGAGTTTATTCAAGCTCAAAATCGGTGAAAATTTTAATTTGAATGTAAATAACATATATTATGTATATTTACACTCAATCTCGTATTATTATTTTTCAAGCTCAGATGAGCCATTTATAGCTTTAAATTGAGATGATTGAGGTAAAGATATCCAATAATTGAATGGTATTTTTTAAAAATAATTTCTTGATCCGATTATTATACCACATCTGCACAGTAAATTATCAATAGATAAGAATTTGTCCTCGAACATATTCTATATGAAATTAAGATTAATTCAAACGCAGTTAAACTTGTATGTTCTACAAAACATTCACTGAAAAGTTTTAGGTTCTTGATTTGAACTTATACGTAAATAATGGTATACAACAACGGCTATAACTGATAAATACATAATTATTCTGAATTCAAATCATTTTGTCTTCATTTTGAAAATGGGTATACTTGTAAGTTTAAAATAAAAACATTTAGGAAAAATAGTAATTTTTGTAAACGCATTTAATTCGAGATTATTTGAAAAGTCTCAATAATTATAAACTTTATCATAACGTAATAAAAGAAACAAAGTTGGGTAAAGAAAGTTGAAAAAATGTTTTTATCTTTATGCATTATAAATTCAAAAAGAAAAATGGGTTGGAAAAACATTTTTCCGACAACACTTGTATATCATTGTTTGTAAAAGTCAATTTCATGAAGTCCAGGGATTCTACGCATCAACCTGTTCACAGCTGCTCCCAGGGGAATGCATATTACAGTACAAGGATCTTGGAAAATATCTTTTGGGGCTCTACCGTACAACATACCGACAACCTCTAATTTATTTTCAAGAGACAAAGAAGGCTGAAATAAAAGCGCACCCGAATCTCCTGGTGCTCCAAACAACCGAACTTGCCCTCTTCGTCGCCGAGTAGGTTCGACAATAATTGCTGAAGCTCGTTCTGGGAAGTTTCGATGTCGGATTTCGCCAGTTTCAATAACAATTCCTGTAGTTAAATCAGTGCATGCACCACGTTTGTGAACTATTTCCCCAACCAAATCATCCAAATCTCTTCGAGAGATGTCAGCTGGAGCTGGTTCATTTTGCACATCAAGTAAAAGTTTCTCACAATTAGAATCAATAATATGAATTGTTGGTCCGTTTACGTCTATAAGGGCGATGTCGTCATGAATGCAACTCATTTGTCGAAGATAAAACATATTACTGCCAAGTTTAACAACCGATCCATTAATGTTTACAAAAACACTCTGGTTTTCTCGGTTAAAAAAGGCATGTTGGCAGGTTAATGCGGCCATTCTAGAAGCATTTATGTTGACTAGACTACCTGTTGTTGCATAATCGTTATCAAAATAGAAAGAATCAGAAGTTTGTTGTCTATATACGCATTTTGCCCCATGTAATGGTATCCCTGTGTCAGCAAATGGTGTCATCTCCAAATCAGATTGCACAGTTATATTGACCTCTAAATTTCCAACACTGGAGAAATTTTTTAGCAAATCTTCTTTCACCGTTTCATCATTAGTGACTATTCTGACTCCTTTTTTATTAAAGCCATGATATAGAATCTTTTCTCGGTAACTGGAATTTGAAAAAGTTCATTTACCTCTGAGCATAAATGTGCTTTTGATACAATTAACTAGTAGATATTTGAAAGTATTCTATTACCATCCGTCGAAAAAAATATAATTGACATTATACTGCTTGAGTCTACTATGAGAGAGAGAGAGAGAGAGAGAGAGAGAGAGAGACGTACCGTTCAATAATTTTCATTACTTGTTCTTTATTGTATGGCCTTTCAACCACATGTTGTTCTGGAAAATATTGTGCTTTTCTAAGCCTTTCAAGTACCGCCCTTATTTTCTTCAAACTTTCTGCTACACCATCCACCGACGGCAAAGCAGATAACTGTCTTTCAATGTCACAAAGATATTCATTCAGTTTCAATTCAAGTGATATTGTTAGATGGTGTTTAATTGCTATGCTATGTTTGGCGATTGGAACAACTTTTGGAATTCTAAATTGTTTTGTTTTTTGTATTATAGTTGAAATATCTTTCGCTGATTCTGGTTTGGTATCCATTTGCATAACAAGATGTAATTCAGCTTCTTTATATTGCAAATCTTCGGAAATCTAAATCAAATTTAATACAAAAATGCAACATTTTAACAAGTGATATGATGAATGTATTTAGTAATCAATGCAAATTTAATATGTGCCTTGTTTTGAAAACCGAAAGCCAATATTGCAAGAAAAAAAAAGTAATTTCCAATGTTAAAATGTTTCAAAATTTGATATGTAGAAAAACATTGTTTTCAAATGTATTAAGCCTACATCCATCTTTATTTTATACCCCCGTAATCGAATATTCGGGGGCAAATATTATTAGCTTTTTTCAGTCCTTGTACAGTGTATGTGTCTAGCTGTTAATCTGTTTGCCTGTTAATCTGTTGTCCGCAAAAACTTTTCCAAAAGCGATCGACGGCCGACGGTATTTTAAGGAAAAAATAGGATTTTTCGGGCGACAATCGGCAGTTCATCGGCCGTTGTCTTGCCCGATTTTTACCTCTTTTTTGTCTGCTGACCAATTTTGTGTCAGTCCAGCCAAATTATAATTTTTTCTGCGTCGGTGGCCGATTCCTTGAGTTGAAACAGTCGTTGAATAGTCCGTCGACCAACCTTCGATCACCGTCCGACCACCGGCAGACAGTTTTTAAAGTCGGTCGTTGGTCGTTCGACTTTTAGGAATTGGGTTTTCGTAAATATCGACCGACGGTGAAAATTAAACTGCGGACCAGCGAACAATAACACATAAATATTTTTACTTTTAAAAGGCATTGGTGTTCCTAGGAATTATAATGTGACTACTCTACGTCGCCCGGTACTAGTGTCGGCCGATTATTTTTTTCAGTCGACGGTACGGGAAAAATTTAGTCTCGGACCATCGACTTAAATGTGACATAGGCTTTACGCTTTCATATTTCTCATATTCCTTGTGACAAGACCTTTATTTTTGTATCAAATTTAAGGCCTCTTGAACTTTTCCTTGGAGTATGATCTACTTTTGCAAAATTTTTCCAAACATTTACCTTGGCCATAACTTTTGTTAGTGCTAGGGCTTTAACATTTCATTTCTTTGGCTACCTTCATCTTTGACCTTTTGATCTTGACCTTAGCATTTAACCAACTTTTGAAAAACTTGTAAACGGTTGGTGCTAAGGCTTTCAAATGTCACATGTACATGTATTTCTTGTGACAAGACCTTGGTATACTAGAATTTTTAACCACAGAACCTTGACCTTTGAGTTTGCCCTACATTCGAAAAACCATAACCCTGGCCTTGACCTGCCATACAGAGGTATCAGTGCTTTACAAGTACAAATATGTTTTATCCTGTAAAAGTTTATACTTTTTAAACCAGGAAAAGTATTTCTATTTTTTCTAGTGAAAGATTAAATTTTGTGATTTTCCTTCTTAACCTGATTATCTTTCATGAATTATGTGTCTAAAACAACATAGGAAGATGTGTTTAGTAAATTAGAAACCTTGTCTAGGAGTATTTATAGTAATAAAGATATGCATGCCCGAGGAAAGTCAGCCCTTTTGTTGACTCTTTACACAATAGTACATGTATTTCAACAAAATTACCGCATTTAAAAACGACAGAAGATTTTCTATTTTTTCATCTTGAGTCAAAAAATAGAGAAAAATGATCTCTGCGTCGACAACCATTCCTGTTGAAATAAAAGAAAAATATGAGAATTAAAATTAGAAATATCAGTCATTTAGTAGATGATATGTTCAAATAACTAATTAATGTTTTTATATTTTTAAATTTTGATGAAAAAGAATACTGTTAACTGTTAACTTTTTGTATGTGAAATTAAAAAAAAAAACAACTCGTTGAATTCAAATTTATGAAGATTGTGTGTGTGTTTTTTAAGCCTTGAAATGTATTTTCTGGTGTTATTCTTCAAAGGATATCTCACAGCTTTCCAGTTTTCATTAATTGAAAAAAAAATCAAATAAAGAATTTTTTTCGATGACAATGTTCTGGTAAATAAAACCCAAATCACTTTGTATTTTGCACTTATTAGGTTTGTTAATAGTTTTGTCCAGCTTTTTAAGATAATAAATTATTTTAAATTTCTGAACATTATTATTAAAACGTATCCAGAATTTTTTTTTTTTTGGACAATAGCTTCATTTTTTTTAGAGTCTTCTCTATATTTTAATATTCTGTGTTCACCCATTAACAGGAAGACCTCCAGCTGTTCGAATTCGGAAAAAAATGACATCCAATAAATCCAAAAAATCACACACGAAATTGTTTGAAAAGGTGAAATTAAACACATTTTGTTGAATTTTCCCTCTCAATAATTTTCCGTACATATCTTAATGCCATGTGCTACTCACGCATAAGCTGTAGAATAGATAACTATTAAATTGCGTTATCCTTATGGAATAACATTTTTAGATCATAACTTTCCTTTCAAAATTTTTCATGTATGACTTTGAAGCCGTATATTCGACTACTAAAGTATGCCTATCCATTGACAAATGTGCATGTAAATTGTTTGATGAGATTTGTATCCTTTAAATTTTACGCAGGTATGAAATACTAGTATATTGAACTGAAGTAGGTCACGAATACAGAATAAACTTTCAACTTTATATTTGTCACCTTTTCATTTACTATCCGATAAATACCTAAATTTAATTAAAACTGATAATCAGGTTTTCGATTCCATTGTAATTTTTGTAGTTTATCATCGGCATAATTCTAAATTTTTACCTTATAACTCTTTAGCTTCCACTTATTGTTCACTAAGTATCTCGCATGCCTCTAAGTGGCCTCTAAAATTTAGGCGCCAGCTGGCGGCTAATCAAAAATATTTAGTCGCCAATGCAAATTTTTAGTCGCCAGGCATTTTTCGAAGGCGCCAATCTTAAAAGTTATTAGAATATAGGGACCCAAACGTGCCTAGGAAAACATGACATGTCCATTGCTAAAAATAATTTCCTCTTCTTTTAGATCGCCAAGTCAATTTAAAATGGGCGCCAATTTGGCGACTTATGGAAAAATTTTAGTCGCCAATCAAAAATTTTAGGCGCCATGGGGACTAAATTAGTCGCCAATTAGAGCCCTGTTTAGACACGCCTCTCCCAGTTAAAATATTATGATGAATTTACATTTTAAGCCCATGGGATTAAACATGATTTAGAGTACATCTAATATATACAGGAGATTGAATGAAATAAAATTGTAGTATGCTTAACCTTTACTAAATTCTAAGTAGCACTTTCCGTCTGCATTTTTTGAATAAAGAAGTGACTTGCTCTCCTCACTAAAATCACCTCCGACTACTACAATGCATTTCTTTAATGGGTCCAATGTAAAACCATATATCATGTCCAGTCCCTCTAAACACCAGTCTACAAGCCATTTGTGGTATCCATACCGAGGCAAACAACTGTGTGCATTTAAAACTTGAAAAAAAGTAGAATGAAATAAAAACTCGTGGCATGTGTTTGAGAACGACGATTAAAAAAAAGAATAAATAGATAAATCATGATAGATAATCAAAGTAAAAAATAACGTTTTTGAAAAACTCTTTTACACATTGAAATCGGAACAACATATATACTTATTCAGCAAGTATTTATCCATAGAAAGGATCACTGTATGTGTGCAATATATGTTGATAAAGGTTTCTATAAACAGCATATAAACATTATATTTTAAACATTGTTTCCTTTGATATACGTGTAAATATCTCTTGATTGATGCTGCGTAGCAACATCAAAAATGTATTATTTTCCTCTAATAAATTAAAACAAATGACTGCACACATGGTAAAGTTCTATTTATAAAAAAAATACGCTGTGCTTGATAATTATTATTCTTTGGTAATAATAAAATAATAATAACTGGAATTATGACAAATATCAGACTTCTCTTTCATTCTTGCTTAAACATGTCAATAGCAATCTTCTTTTAATCCGTTGTAAGGTTATGGTCTAGGGTAATTGATTCATAAAAAAAATCATTTCTTTTATATGTAATTTATATTCTGTATTATAAGTCGATACAATTACCTCGAAACTTGTTGTCTATACTGTGGTATTCCCTGAGATTAACATATTCTGTGTCATCCTACGAAAGAAAATAAAATCATTTCTTTAAATTTATTTTCAGTATTTGCCATTTCAAGTTGTTAACATTCACTTCAATAAAATATCAAATATATTTTTAAAACTCATTTATTTCAAATGATATAAAATATCCAAACCACAGCAGGATTAGGTAATTTTACAGGAAAATTGACGTGCATATTCAAAGACGTAAACTAATAATACTGGTTGTATATAAAAATATACTTACTTCCATATCTGAATAATCAGGATCTGGCTCCCATGAAGAAAGTATGGTCTGTATGTAATGTTTGAAAAAAATGAAAATAACCTTTTTTATTTTCCAAAGTAGGTAAATAATATAGTAGGAAAAGTTAAACATGTGTGTGCAATATTAAACTTACTATCAGTGAGATCAATTTAAAGGATATAAAAATCCATACAAGAGGAATTACAAGGAGAAAACTGGTGTGACCCGTCGACAGGGGGATACTTACTCCTCAATGGCACCTGATCTCACCTCTAATGTTCTTTAATGTCCGAGTTTGCTCTCCTTATATATTGTATTATTTCACTGGACATTTGAGCTTGATTACTGTTCGTTATCTTCATATTCCATGTAGTCATAGAAGAGGTACATGTATGAACTTACAATATGTTTGTCCCTTGGTGTTGCACAGATTTGGACTTCATAAAATTCCTTCAATCATTATGGAAAAGTAAAAGAAAATAATTGTTATTAATTAGAAGTATTTAAGGATATAATATTGACAGTGAGTTGAAAAATGGACACTGGCATAAGATAAAAATAAAATCTGTCATCTGTTGAGATTTTTCAATAGAATGCATTTATATTTCAAATTGTATGAATATTTTTAATCTTTAAAAGTTAAGTGTAAATCTTGGTGTTTACAAATTGTAAATTGAAATGTGATATTTTTTTTAAAAAAAAATATCATTCAGTTCACAAAATGTGTTTTTGTCGACAAAAACAATAGACAATGTTTTTTTTTTTTTTTTATAAAGAAGCCAATAAGTTTTAAATGAAACATATTAATTGACTTGCTGTTGGGTTTATCTAATTATCTAATGCTTAATAAGTTAGACAGCATTCAATTGCACTTACTTCTGCTCCAGGATAATCCGGTTTTGGAATAAAAGGCGAAAAACTGTTCTGAAATTTATTAAAAAGCTGTAGGTATGTATTATCGTTTTCATTCATTGTATCTTGCTTTAAAGATATATATATACAATGGGTATACCTACAAAAATATCTGAGAAATATAATTTATTTACAGAGCGCTAAACTATACGACAGAGCTTGTTAAACCAAATTTCAATTTTCAATCCGATGTCGGATGAATAATAATAAATAGATTATATATATATATATATATATATATATATATATATATATATATATATATATATATATATATATATATATATATATATATATATCGCTGTTCCTGTACTGCTAGGAGACAGATTCCGTAGGTCGAGAGTTCAACCCCGGGCTGGGGCGGAAGTGGGTATCCTTATAAAAGTGAATTTCTTTGTGCTTTCTATATTAATATTTCTTCACTTAGGGCAGTTATGTTAGTTTAAGACTTGGTGTAAAATGTGCTTTATAAATAAAAATTAATTTCATTACAACGTGTATTGGTAACGATCCTCTAATAAAACTAATGTCCAAATAACTGTATCTCACTTCCATTCTCAATGACCGTGTAGTGTAGGGCAGCGCCGCGAGAATTCCATCGGCATCGAACGCAAGTTTTTTGACTTGCCTAGATAGCCGAGCGGTCTAGCGCGCTGTTCCTGTACTGCTAGGAGACAGATTCCGTAGGTCGAGAGTTCAACCCCGGGCTGGGGTGGAAGTGGGTATCCTTATAAAAGTGAATTTCTTTGTGCTTTCTATATATATATATATATATATATATATATATATATATATTAACACTATTGTGTGTATATGTGTCCCTGAAATATTGCTCATATATATGTATATGATTACTCACTATACGTCTTTTTAAATGTTGATCTACTGGAAACGTTTGCTGATAATAAAGAAGAAAAATTACATATTAAAAAAATTTGCATCAAGCAAAGCTATTAAAGTACGTTGTGTTTCGTACGTTGAATTTTTAAAATTATTTTAGAAGGAATATAAGAGAAAGAGAAACCAAGAAAACAAAGTTTTTCATGCATTAAAAATTTAGGAATCATGATTAAATGTATAAAACATTACTCACACCCTGTGTTTTTGAAAAATGATCTGCTCGATACTCTTTCTTAAGAAAAGAAAAGAAGAAAAGTTGCAAAGTAATCAATGAATTTCTCTCGTTCCTAAGATATGATGAAAAAATGTTTATTTTCTCATTTAAAACAAAATCAAACCAGAACTAACAATTATATCAAAAGAGATACTTAAACCTTTACATTCCCGTAAGCAAATTCTGTGAAGCTTGTCTCCTGATACAAAAAAATATATATAAGAAATGAATTAAAGTTTTTTTTTTAAGAATCTAAGCGGGCAACCATTATTGCCCTTCTATATGT